TGCAGTGTGGTGAGTGGGTGAGTGTGTTGTGACCTGCAGTGTGGTGAGTGTGTGAATGTGTTGTGACCTGCAGTGTGGTGAGTGGGTGAGTGTGTTGTGACCTGCAGTGTGGTGAGTGTGTGAATGTGTTGTGACCTGCAGTGTGGTGAGTGGGTGAGTGTGTTGTGACCTGCAGTGTGGTCAGTGTGTGAGTGTGTTGTGACCTGCAGTGTGGTGAGTGGGTGAGTGTGTTGTGACCTGCAGTGTGGTGAGTGGGTGTGTTGTGACCTGCAGTGTGGTGAGTGTGTGAGTGTGTTGTGACCTGCAGTGTGGTGAATGTGAGTGTGTTGTGACCTGCAGTGTGGTGAGTGGGTGTGTTGTGACCTGCAGTGTGGTGAGTGTGTGAATGTGTTGTGACCTGCAGTGTGGTGAGTGTGTTGTGACCTGCAGTGTGGTGAGTGGGTGAGTGTGTTGTGACCTGCAGTGTGGTGAGTGTGTGAATGTGTTGTGACCTGCAGTGTGGTGAGTGTGTGAATGTGTTGTGACCTGCAGTGTGGTGAGTGTGTGAGTGTGTTGTGACCTGCAGTGTGGTGAGTGTGTGAGTGTGTTGTGACCTGCAGTGTGGTGAGTGGGTGAGTGTGTTGTGACCTGCAGTGTGGTGAGTGTGTGAATGTGTTGTGACCTGCAGTGTGGTGAGTGTGTGAGTGTGTTGTGACCTGCAGTGTGGTGAGTGTGAGTGTGTTGTGACCTGCAGTGTGGTGAGTGGGTGAGTGTGTTGTGACCTGCAGTGTGGTGAGTGGGTGAGTGTGTTGTGACCTGCAGTGTGGTGAGTGGGTGAGTGTGTTGTGACCTGCAGTGTGGCGAGTGTGTTGTGACCTGCAGTGTGGCGAGTGTGTTGTGACCTGCAGTGTGGTGAGTGGGTTGTGACCTGCAGTGTGGTGAGTAAGTTAGTGTGTTGTGACCTGCAATGTGGCGAGTTTGTTGTGACCTGCAGTGTGGTGTGTGTGTGTGTTGTGACCTGCAATGTGGTGGGTTTGTTGTGACCTGTAGCGTGGCGAGAGGGTGGATGAGCGTGTTGTGACCTGCAGTGTGGTGAGTGGATGAGTGTGCAGTGACCTGCAGTGTGATGGTTGAACACATAATTGATCAGACGAAACACTGAGTGTCTGGAAGACAAGATCCTCTACATGAGTGGAGGAATCCATGACTGAAGTTTACGGGAACAGTAACCATGGTAGTCGCGATAAAAGAGCGATGAGGAGGCGATTAACCGCCTCCTCATCGCATGGAGTGAATCAGTGAGTGATGGATCATCAACCTCACTGCATCCCATGAAGTTGCACCGCAGGCGCACTTGACTGTGAGTGATGTTAACAATGATCATCGTTTCTTTATCAGAGCGCCCTGGATTCCTCCGAGACATCTCAGTGCGCCGTACACGCAATAAACAACGTACGTCACGTCTCATCTGAACACATTTTTGAAAGGGCACCCCCAGTGCCCCTGTGCTGCACAAGTTCAAACTGGCATGCGAGCAGGCACGCGTCTGCCAGTATGGGGCGCCGATTGCTGCTGCGCATAGTCACCACTGAGGGTCACTGCAGTCAAATTGGAACCGTGGCGCCGGCACTCCTGTGGACGACTCTTCTCGAACGACGTCACGGGAACGTTAACGTCGAACCGCGAAGCAGACGGCGTGTAGCCACTGTGCGTCGTTTTAATAACACCCGCAGCAGAAAGAACCCCGGGACGGCATGCCGGATCCAAAACCGCGAACCTCTTTAACGAGCTGCACCACCCCCTGCGGCCACATCACCGAACATTCTGCAGAGCCACCCTCACCCCCCGCTCACTGCCGGTTCGACTCCACCTCCCATCACTAAATTACGGCTGTTGAAACAATGGGGAAAGTTTCTCAAAGCACCCCAAACTACCCCCCCCCGCCGCCGAGACCTCTGTCCAGCCAGCAGTGTAAGTGGAAATGTATAGCAGCAGCCAACTACTCAAAACGCGTGATATCCATTCTAAATGTGGGGGGGGGGGGGGGGGGGAGAACTCCGGGGAGAAAAAAAAATCAGGCGTCCAAGAGGAGAGAGACGCAAACTCCAAATATACAGCAGGTGTGAGGGCCGGGATCGAACCCACGACCTCCTGCATACCAGGCGAGGTAGTTAACATCTCCTAGCCACCCCGACGCAGTAGTGAGCTATACAGGGTGTTTCAACAACACCAGTGCCCCTTGGGCACGGGGGAGACCACCTGGAAAAGATTCCAGGCATGCGTTAACAATGATGGCGAACGAGTGGAGACTCTTTTACTTTTTGAAGCTATTAACATGCATTTGTTATCATGTTGTGGTGTATTATCCGTTCTTTTTCCATTAACAAACGATAGTTCAACAATAAGTGTTAACATTTTTTGAAGCACGCTGTATAGCTCAGTGGGCCTTATCTGGTAAAAAAAAAACACAACTATATATAGTTTAGCTACATAACAACACAAACCACGCGTAATTGATACGAACAGTTAAGAGGTGGCACATCAATGACGGTTTCCCGATCGGCGCCGAGTAACCGTGCCCTCGGCTCTCCACGAGTGGGCGCTGTTCCCCCATTGCTCCCGCACGACGTTGGTGGCTTCGTGCGGGCGCCCTGTCGCAACGTGGCTCAGACGGTGCCGCGCGTGCGCCCCACGAGAGAGACTCCACCTCTGAGCTCACGTCGTGGAACGTGTTAACCGCACAGCCAACCCCAATTGCTGTGCCTCCATTCCCAGCACATCTCGGAGCCTGGCGCTGGATTGCAGCGCTGTTGCACCAACGCCGCCCGCGCATCGCCACCGCGGTTCGTGTTGACAGCTCCGCTGAGGACTCGCCAGCTGCCTGGCACTGCCTTCAAACGTCCGCGCTGTGCCGCGTGTCCCGCGTGCGCCACGGTGGCTAGGAGATGTTAACTACCTCGCCTACTGTGCAGGTCGTGGGTTCGATCCCGATCCAGACGCCTGCTGCTGCTGTCTATTTTTAGTTTGCTTCTCTATCCCCCCCCACCCCCCCACCCGTGGTCGCGTGGATTTTTCTCTGGGTCCTCAGTTTTTTCCCCTCCACATTTAGAAATCAATATGCGCTCTCGAACATCGGGCTGCTAGAACTGTACACGGGATAATCCACTTCGTTTTGGCTCGTGTTTACCCCCACCACAATTACACGCATGCACCCCTACACTGACGCCAGGCTCGCACGCAGATCAACTCATTTGTCAGCTAGTAAACGCGGTTGTTCTCGAGGGGATACTACAGAGTGGTCCAGATGTCTCGTGACCCCCATTTTATTATATATTTCTTTTTAGAGCAAGGTTTATTTAAATCAGAAATGAAAATGTAAAGCGGGAAAAAAAATTTTGATCAATTAATTGGGGGTCACAAGACATCTTGACCATTCTGCACATGGGAATAACCAGAGATTGTCGGCTTAGGCAGTAAAGTGAACAAAATACGGTATAGCACGATTAGCTACACACTGTGCGAAATACGTTCAACATAGATACATACTCTTGGGTGACGACCTTGAGTCTCACATCCCGGGGGTCGATTCCCTACCCCGCCACCTCTCCGTGTGGAGCGTATAAGTTCTCCTGTTCTTCATGGTTCTCATTCGGATTCTCTGGTTTTCCACTCCCTCCCCCCCTCCCCCTAGGCTAAACGCACACAGACAGAATGTAACTCGTCCTGCCCAAAACATCCACACTAATCACCCGCAAATTATTATTCAATTGAGTTTACACTCAGCAACGACATCGCCTCCTCCTGTGCTAACTTGGCAATGCCCTCCTTAAGCTGAGTCTTGAGACTCCAACTGCATCACGTGTTCCACACGTGCACACCCATGCTGATATCTCAATCTTAATTAGAATTGCCTCAATTACCGCAGACTGCGTTAATTGCTTAGCGGATCACGTGGTACGTGTTTAACAATCGTCGGGTGCGTGCGGCGTGGAACGAGTTAATTTGCATTTGAATGGTGGAGTAAATTGGTGAACGTAAACAAAAAACGGTGGGTCCTGAGGATTGGAGTTTGGGGAAACGTGATGAAGCACACAAGTCAGTGTGACGAGCAAGTCAAAGTCCTGCAGCTCATGAGCGCCGTTTCACCATCGAAACATAGAGACGTCCCGACGGCTGCTCTGGAACCAGCTCCACACTTACACCGTCTTCACCCGGGCAGTCCTGCCGGGTTCGCCGTGGGGAATGCAGCGGCGTCCGCTGTGGGGACCGCGCTCAGAGCACGCGACTCACGATCGATAGGTTACCATCCCTCGACAGCAGTGGTTCTTAACACAAATCTAGCACGGGCACGGAAGTCTAACTACTTTGTTTCATCAAACCAATGTGTTTATCAACATACTTTTTTACCGCTTGAGAACCAAATGGCTGCAGTAAAGGTTAAGAACCACTGCGCTATAGGGTTGATAAAAAAATATATGGGCAGACAGGCCTCTGCCACTGGAATGTGGAATGCACACCTCTGGCTCAGCACGACCGACAGAGACTACCCATGCTCTACGTTCGCTTCAGCTTTGGCTTGGGTGCCATGTCCTCAATATTCCCGCTGTTCACATTTAGTCGGGTAATTCGGGTTAATCTGACTCATTCAGACCATTCTACATTGTTGTTCTGACTTCCTGGATCTTGTCCTCATGATGTTCGACGTAGCTGCAAAAAGAACGTCGTTCATCTAACTGCTAGATGTGTTGTGTGAACTGCTCATCAACTAACCGGTGAGCCGAACACTATAATAATTTGCTCATTAAACACTTGTACGCGTGATAGTGTTGGCTGTGTCGGGTTGTGAAAGACTCTTAACGACACAAATTCGATCAGATAATTCCTTGTCCTAACCCAAAATTAATGATTAACGGAGTTAGGCTTTGCGCTTATAGTGGGAAGACATATAGTACTGCGTACACTTATGCCTAGAGAAACAAAGTGCATGATCTTATAAAACAGAAACATAGTCAGGGACTCACGTCAAAATGTTGCATAAATTCATCCGCCAGACTGCTGTCCTGCTGCATGTCCAGGAACTCAAAGTCCTCCCCGATGGCGTCATGGCTGTGGTCGCTCTCTGGCTCGCCAATCTTTCTGCTCTCGCTGTCACGGACTTCGCTAGCTGCCGCCGCTGCTGCCGCCGCCGCTGCTGCCCCCGCTACTGCGTCTTCCCTGGCCGCACCGGGGCAGTCTCCGTGCCTCACTCGGAGGCTCCCCCGGTCCCCTCCCACGTCCTCGCGCGGCGCCACATTGTGCTGCCCCGCGAAGCCAAACCCCGAACCGTGCCGCGAGGCGACGCTGGCCGCCTCCATTCGAATCCTCGTGTCACCCTCTCTGCCGCCTCCTCCTCCATTGCTCATCTGCCTGACGCTCTGGTCTCCTCTTTCCTGTGGCTTCTTGCCGTCATCCTCTTCAACCTCCTGTGCCTCTTGGCTTTCCGAGTCCTCGCTATTTCCTCGCTTAGCTCGCGCCTTGAACCGTTCTAGAAACGAGTCGGCCATAACTCCGTTCCTCGAAAAGAGAATCTCTCGACCTAATTTTACTTTAGAACACGTCTCAGTGGAACTGTGGCGTTCACTCGGCACTGTGGCAGGAGTGGAGGGGCTTGGAGGTTTATGAAACACGGTGCACGGGTGGGAGAGGCTGTGCCGTACAGGGAAGTGTCTCTGTACTTCTGCACGTATGTCACCTGTCGCTGCTGCTGCGAGGAATGCTGGCTGGACTCACCACTGTTCACTCACTGGCACCGGTTTCCTGGGAAATAGAAGTTCACCTTCCGCACTGCAATCCAGATTTCATTCGGACAATGCGTAGAAATCGACCCTTTATATTTTCATTGTTCAGGCATTTATTTATAACTGCAGTGAAAATGTAAACAATTGCGAATCTGTCGAAGAATTACGGCGATGAACTGAACTATTTGGACAAAAAATATAATTGTAAGTATCGCGAGAAAAATAATAATTGAGGTTTTGTTTTAAATAGAGTTTTTTTTGGTGCCGCAACAAGAAAGGTGACATTCCTTCGTGACATGCGCGTGTGGTGTTGAAACCTGCATGTAAATCCACACTGGCGCACCCAGTGTGCAGCAGAGCGGGCAGCCGACTTTTTATGACAAGGGCGGTTTTGTACGGCCACGGCCTACATTCCCCGTTCCAATTCTGAACATCTGTCGCAACAAACGCACGCTTTTGTTACGCTTGTTTTTACGCAACGAAAGCCTGAGTCTCAAGACTTTTTTTCAGGAGGGTCCTGGTAAGTTTGTTGTTGCTATGTCTAATCTCGATTTAGTAATTTGAAGGTACATTTTCAGCATTGAGATGTTTTTTGTATATACAGGTTGAATGCTATGAGTTTTAGCTATGTGACAAAAATTGAGGTTGTGGAAACCCATGTAAAACTGGAGAACATAAAAACCCCACACAGACAGACAGGCAGCCGAGTCAGGATTCGACCCTGGGTCCTTACTGTGAGGTATGAGTGTTACCTCTGCACCACCCCTGCCGCACATAAACTGGCCATGAGTCGACTCCGTCCATCATTTCTCCACGGCTAAAAAAATGAATATGATTTCATGGAAATATCAACATTGTTGTCCAGAAAGGGCGCTACCACAAAAAATTGGAATTTCCACCACTGGCTCGTGAATGGCCCAAGGCAATTGCTGCCATCGAGGAGTTATTGCCATTGATACAGTGTACACTTCGGGCATATACAGTCGTTTGCATATGTACACACAACCACGAGAATACAAATATACACCCGTGCAGCTATTATACACTACCCCAATAAATATTAATAGATGCATGCCTCTGCTTACACACATGGATGGTGATTGGTTTACAAAGGTCTCAGCAAGGCCTTGCGGGGGAATTCTAAAATTAGTGGGTGACAGGGAGGACCTCACAAAAAAATGTCTGCATTACAGTATATGACAGCTGTCACTAGGGGTGCCCCTTCGAATGATAGATATGAGATGTGATGCAAGTGTGGGGCCCGACGTCTGCCCCGCCGCCCTCACGGGGAAGGTTGTGCGCAACGTCCGCCCATTCTTCCCTCTCCTCCACCGCGTCGGGCTGCCCTTGCCTGGCACCTGCCGATCGAGTAACCGGGCCTGTGGTGCCACGGCAGCGTAGCAACTCCGCAAACGCTGCGACTCCCCCCTGCCCCCCACCCTGAGCACATGCACACACGCAGCTCAACGGGTTTTCATCCGAAGGGCCCCTAGGTGGGAAGTCCCGCGGTTTCCTGGTGCCAGGAGATTGGCCGACCCTCCCAGGACAAATCACATTGCGGCGCCCCTAAATTGGTTGAAAATGGTATGGGCACACAAAGGTTCACCGGGCCAGCCGCAATGAGTCACGCACGACATCGGGGAGAGGGCTGGGGTGAAATATTAAGTGAGCAGAGCAGACGATGAGGTCAGGGGATACAAAGCACCACCGACCAAGTACTCACTAGCCGGGTGTGTATTCACCAGCCGGACGCCCTTCCAGATTAAACAGGCTGAGTCAGGGATTAATGAGTACGGGTATAGAGACAATGGGTTGAAAAATAACGTAACGTAACGCTCCATGTAATGGCAGAGAAACGGTTGAAAATCACAGGTAGGCGCACGATTGGCTGCGCAGGATGACGTAACTCTGGATTTCAAAAGTCAGGGGAGTAAAAAGGGGAGCCAAAAAATTTATCAAGAGAGTTCTAATCTTCAACAGCTTGGTCGCCAAGACCGCCCCTGCCGTCCGGCCTCCTCAAGCCGCTTGCAGCATCTGTGTGATGTCAGCGAGTGCTGCTACGAGGCAGTGATAGGCAAGGTTTTTTTCACCATCCTCCCTCTGACACTCACAGCGTCCGTGCGACGCCGTGAGTACAGCTGCGAAGTATGTGATAGGGCGTGTGAGTATTTGGGGACTTGGATAGCAGTAGGCTTGCAGAATATTCCCTCCAGGCAATGCAGGGTTTGCGCCGTGCATAAACGTTAGCACAGAGCAGCGTGCGTTCACGCCGCCGCACGAGCGTTAGCTGTGGTGTGTGCGTGTGTTAGGATATAATCGCATGCAGGTACGTGCGCGAGTAGCGCCGCCGCACTAGCGTTAGCTGTGGTGTGTGCGCATGTTAGGTGTGTGCGCGTGTTAGGATGTAATCGCCTGCAGGTGCGCGCGTGCGTTCACGCCGCCGCACTAGCGTTAGCTGTGGTGTGTGCGCGTGGGTCGCCTTGACAGCACATCGGCATTTGCGTGCGTCCGACCAGCCCTGTATTCGATCTGCAGGTTATACTTCTGCAGCTGCGTCAGCCACTGGGCCATCTGCCCCCACAGCTCCTTGAAGGTGAGGAGGAATTGCAAGCCATAATGGTCAGTACGTTCACTACACCTCCGGCCATACAAGTGTAGTGGGTTCAACTGAGTCGCACACTTAGACTCGAAGGCAGCGCATTTATTACTTCAACACAACGGGGTAACTTTACCCCTTAACAAGACAATGACCTAGGGTGGTGACCACACTGGCTAACTACACAGGTTACAAGATAACTGTCAACTTCGGACCGGGACCAACAGCATACTGCCCGGGTCCATGTGCTGAAAGACTTGAAGATCGGAGATTGTAGATGAAGGGTTTCTTCCCTGGGACGAACAACCAAGATCCCTCTCGGGACTCGGCTTATATTTTCTCCGGTGTGGCCGACTCTGGCCCTAGCCACGCCCCTTTTCCAGAACCTTCACGAATAACCTCAGTTCCCATCACGTGACCCTCACAGCCCTCTCTCGGGGACCCCTCTGTCATTCTAACTGGTCACGTGCCCTCCCGGGTCAACTAGGTTGTCATGGCCTTACCCGACCTTCCCTTCAGGTCGATATACACCATGCTCTCTAGGGCCAGTACTGCAGTTACAGCATGGTGACATCCAGCGATGTCACTACATCACCCCCCCCCCCTTCGTAAAACACAGCCATCCCAGCTGTCAACTCCCCCAAAACCAGAATAAAGCCCCCTAGCATGCCTCCATAATTAAAAGTGTCAATGAGCGGTATGTACAATATATACACTATATATAGTGAGCACAATAAAGGCCAGGTTCAGCCAATAGCCAATATGACTGACGGGTGTGACAATCAACCAACGGTGTGGGAATGTGTGTGTGTGTGGGGGTTACAAGAACCGGACAGTCTTGAAACGAGTCCTTGTAGCCGGGCCCCAGGCGAGGTGGGCTTGAGCTCCCCGGGGGTCCCAGGGGGAATTCAAAAATGTCCTGACGAGCGTGGCTCCTCTCGAGGAAAACTCAGCGTACAGCGCAGTCGGCAGGGTAGATGGGCGCTCTGCCCGCTGAGCATCTGGAGACAGCGCAGGCTGCGGCGTTGGGGGTGTTAAACGCTCGGATCCTGTAGGCGAAATCACAGAACTCTCCTGAGAACCAACTTCAGCGGGCGCACGCCCCAGCTCGCTCGACACACCCGACACTCGGCCCCTATGTACTGGAGATGAGGTGAATTCACAAGGCGCAATGAAAGGTTTAAGGCATCAGGGGTGAACGAACCAGCTTCACCGACTGAAGCGAATTTGAACACACTGTGGCCTATATTCTTAGTTTTTTCGGTAAAGTCACGTTGAAGAGAAACAACAAAATAACAAAATATATATAAAACAATAAAAAATTCTCACGACGTTTCGACCATAACTCAAACGGTCATCATCAGGTGTGTCGGTTTGCATAAATTTATTTTGAAAACGGCATATTTATTTATATATATAAAAATAACGTTTGCGTCACGCGCAACGATGGCAGTTTGCCAGGACTAGTCCATCTATTTTTTGAAAAGAGGAGGGGGGAGACGAAATTTGTTTTTATGTATGCTGTCTGAAAGGCACTGTAAGCGTGAACAATCAATCAAGAACTGAAATGATTTATCAAATCTTTCCAATGATTGCTAAGATAGAATCCATCTTCTCGGTTGAAATTGTCTCTGTGTTTGTATATGTGGATAGCCTCATGAACGAATCTCTCATGGAAGCCAGATGGCTTACAAAGAACCTCCGTCTTGGAAAAGTCAATGGCATGTGAGCCTACTGAATTAGAACAATGATCTGCTACGGCCGAGGTGTTGGTCCTACCGTGTTTAAGGTCTGCTTTATGTTCACGAATGCGGTCCGAGATATGGCGTTTGGTTTCTCCAATGTAACTACTACCACAGAGGCAACTTAGTTTGTAGACACCAGGGTATTGTATGTCCGGAATCACATCTTTTACAGACGGAACCAGATCACGGATTTTATGTAATGTGTTGAAACGGACCTGGATCTTGTGTTTATTCAAGATTTTGAGCGTTTTGAATTATATAAATTAAAAAAGAGGAATGATATTGTAGTTCTCTCAGCTGACAAAGGCAATGCTACTGTTATCATGGATAAAATAGAATACAACAACAAAATTAAAGAATTACTCGACGATGGTAGTTATACAAAAATAAAAAGAGATCCCACCAACAGCCTCGTCACACAAACCAACAAAATAATTTCTGATTCAACCGCATTAATTGATCAATCTAAACAGTTTTCGTTGAAACCTTCTGCTGCCAGGCCACCAAGATTATACGGCTTACCAAAAATACATAAAGTTGATACACCTCTTCGTCCCATAGTCTCTACTATCAGCTCCCCCACCTACAAACTAGCTCGTTTTTTGTCTGAAATCCTGCGTCCTTTCACTGGAAAGACCACCTCTGCGGTACAAAATTCTACTCACCTGGTATCAACAATCAAGGGTATTTCCCTGTCCCCAGACGACCTGCTTGT